ATATAGGCTGGATTTAATTTGAAATTTCAAAATTAATAAATTATAAAATAATATTAAGCAATTAAGGAAAATGCAAGCATGGGCCTAATTAGAGACTTAGCTTCTTCCAGTTCACAGAAGCAAAGATCTGGAAATAGATAGGTATCTAACCCAATCCCTTGTCTCTTAATAGGAGAGTATTTCAACCTTATCTATACCACTGTATGAAAAAAAAACACAACAAACAAACAATATATCTAACTAGAGCCAAAAGAGAAGTAAGTTCTGGGTGAGTGCAACATAAAACAGAGAATCAATCCTGATGCCTTTCCTGGATCAGACAGAGGTATTTAGGGGAATTTTAAAATGAAAAAATGTCTTCCCAGATTCAGACTCAATATATCTGAAATTGTCCTCCTCAGCTGATGCCTCCTCTCCACTCAAGCATGGGAAAACACTGTATTTTCTTGCACGTTAGCCAAGGTCGTCAGTTCCACCAAGTTTTGCTCTTCCCATGGAGACTGGCAAGTCAAGCTTCTCAAAGTGTATTAGATGGGTTTCTGTAGAGCACTAAGTGCCAATCTGGCCCTTTCCTTTCTGCTTGTGACAGAGAGGCCTTATACTGAAAACAGAAGCATTTGTAAAACTAACATTCATCTATTTGGTTTTTTTGTTGTTGTTGTTAGATTTTGATAAAGCTACCTAATCTCTGTACTGTGCATCATTTTGTGTTCTCACAAGCCTACATTGTTGCTTCCTGAAGCTTTCTGTTGCCATTTACTTGGGCATAGGGAGTAGACTCAGCCTCTGTGAGAGATTTCATTGATATAAGGAACTCCCAAATAAATATGCTCCCTCTGACTCTGTAGGTCAGTAACTTCTCTACAGCATATAATATTGGGAATTTGCCTTGAGAATTGAGAGGTTTATACACTGTGTTGTCAGAAGTAAGACTTAGACCCAGGTCCTCCTGGCTGCAAGACCAACTCTCTATCCATTATATCAATGATATCAAACTCAAATAGAAATGGGGACCACTAAATCACACATAAAGATCTCTGAAGCTACATATTAACTTAGAAAACCATATATTAACATTATATATCTTTTATTGTATTTTATTTACTTTGTTAAATATTCCCAGTACATTTTAATCTGTTTTGGCTGACTAAGCAGTGTTGTCTGACACAAGTGGACAAGGGGCTACATATTTGACATCTCTGTACTACACCACAGTGTTTCTCTGTCCTTGCCTTTGAGATATTTTTAATAACAGATTTAAACTGATCCATAACCAAAGATTACCATCTGAAATAGCACTATCAAAGAAAAAGCATGGATAAAAAAAAAGTGTTTAAATTAAAGCATCCAGATTTACTATTATGCCAAAATCCCTATCCATTTACTTTCTTTTTCCAGTCTCACTTAGCTCCATACTAATATGGGAGCAAAGTTAGCAACTATCTCAGATTTTTTTTTTTAAATCCATTAGGGTTAATCAGGTAGGCCAGATCACCTCCCCCATGCTGGGTCTGGGCCTTTGTCTTATTTTCTGTTTGAACGCCATAGGGTTTCTCACTTCCAGGACATTATCTTCAGCTCATGGTGGCTGTTTTTTACAGAGAACAAAGAAAATAGGACACAAGATAGATATGCAGGTTAGCTTCTAAACTTGAATGGTAATAATATGTGGGGGAGAAGGCTCTGAAACTGCTGGTTAAGTGAGTGAGAATTCCACTTACATATTTTGATTGGATCAAAGGGTTGGCATTATTTTGCTATATAGAGTCCTACCCTATGAGAATCAGCATGGGTCTTGGATAGAGAACTAGCCTTAAACCTAGGAAGACCTAGGCTCAAAATTTACCCCTCTTCCAGGTAGGTTAAATGACCCTGGGCAAGTCACAGTCTCTCAGTACTCTAGGGAGGTGCAGAACTCCATTGTGAAAAGAAATTCCTTATACCAATGAATTCATCCTTCTGTTGTTTTCCAACCACCACATAATGACATTTTACACAAGTTAAGGGAGAATGAAATGCTATCTGCAAGGATATGTGGCCAAATAGTCTTTCTCCCATTATATTTTTAAACAATTTTTAATTAATAAGCATTTATTTTTTTCTCAAAATCCTTGTAACAAACAAGCATAATTTTAATTTGTCTTTACAAGCTATGTAGCTTTATTTTCTGCAGTCACTAAAAATGATGATGGCAAAATTAATCATCTGTTCTCTTTCCTTGTTTTGTTCTATTTTACTGTTGTGTGGGAGAATTTTTATTTGCTACTGTTACCTGGAGCAAGGCCTTCCCCTCTCTAGTCTCATTTCCTCCTTTGTAAAAATAATGGAATTAGAGTAGATGTCTAAGGTCCATTCCAACTCTAACATTCCATGGATCTGAGAAGTTAAAAAATTTCTTTCCAAAACCTTATTTTAAAGGCTTCCTTCAAAAGGCTAGTCCTTGGGAGTTCCATAACTCCTCTTCACATAGTCTCACAGAGGCCCAACAGTATTAGATTTATACCTGGAAGTTACCTGGGGAACTATGTGGTCCAACTCCCTCATTTTACAACTGAGGAAACTGAGACCCTGATAGATTAAATAAATTACTCAAGTTTGTTCCAGGCTATTATGTAGCAGAAAGGGGATCGAACCCTGAAGCTTCTTCTACCTCCACAACTCTTAAGAAAGTGCAAAGACTAGGGAATATCTGGAGCAAGGTTGGTTAGGGGTCTTAAGAGGCTGCACCTTATTCACTTGTTGCTCTGCTTGAAATCAGATATTTCTCTGAACAGTCACGTCCCCCCTGGGGGGAGGGAAACTTGCCCATATCCCCATACACTCCTCTCTTTACTTTTCCTCATCTACTATTTCTGTCCTCACAGTCCCCCTCCTCTTTCTCCACCAGTGGTATTACTACCTCCATCATCCAAGGACTCTGACTCCTCCTCCTCTTCCTCCTCTCCCTTCCCTGGCACCCCGCCCTTTTCACTCCTTCCCTCATCCCTCCTTTGCTTTCAACCTTTCGTCCACCTCGAGCGCCCCAGACAGGCGCTGTCCCCAAGTGCTCTCTTATTCACTTTTCTCTGACGTCCAGCTTCCGAGCTCTGACGAATATTCCTTCTCCTCCCCTTATAAAGAAAGGGTGTTTTCTTTAGCCTGGCAATCACGTCTAACACCCACGGAATCCCCCAGCCCAGCTCCACTCCTAAGCCCAGCTGTACCCCATCCTTCCGAACCTCGTCTTCCCCATGAACATTCCATAATCCTGTGCCCCACCCACAAACTAGACTGAAACTCGGGGTACTGAGATACTTGTAGACTAGAGGGAGGCTCCTACAAGAAACCTGCTGCTACTCCTGCTGCCTCCAAGGCCGCCACCAATCTCAGCCTCGGTCTCCCCAGGAGCCCACGGGGGGCTGCACACATCTTTCCTATTGGACGAACCAGCGAGTGTGTCCCCGGAGGAGAGCTGAGTCCCGAACATCTCCTGCGGAAGACTCACAAGGGAGGGAAAAGAAGGTAGGACCAAGGTAGGACGTTCCCGCGTCCAGATTGGACGCATTTTTTGGAGTTGGTGCCAGAGAGCAGGTCCGCTCGCGGTTCCCGCTGAGGCGGGGCTGAAACATCTTTAACAGGTTCAGCCTGAGTCCTTGAAAGGGTCTCTGGAGGGGATCATATCAAACTCTCTGTCCTCCTCTGCCCCGATAGATCGATCTAAATTAGAACGGAGATCTAGCAGGTTGGTGCCGGCTCAGGGAGGCGTGCAGACAAAGAAACTGAAAAGGAAGGGGTAAAGGGAAAAAGGCAAGGCGGACAGGAGGTGATGGGATCAAAGTATTCCACTGGAAGGGGTCAGGAGTTATGTGCACTAAGATGTCGGGGTGAGGACTGGCTGGGAGAGGAAGATATGATAGAAATGTAGGAATGGGCATCGAAGAAAACTACTTTTGCAGACTAATTTCTAAAGATAGGCTCAGCCTTGCCATTCTCTTGGTCTACTTTTTCCTAGATAAGGAAAGTGCTTTCGTGCCCACCTACATGGGTGTATTCTCAGTAACCTGCTTGGTTAACCTGATTACAGTGGACAGGTGTGGCATCTAAAAGAAAAAAAAATTCTGAGGGGAACAGTTAGAACTGGTCCCCTTAACTCAATATTTGATACTTGTGGTGATTTTAGGAATTTATTATATTTTTCGGCATCTTGAAACTTAAAAGATAAATCCAATTTTTTTTTTTTTTGTTCATGGAGAGATTTTCTGATAACATTCCATTTTAAAGACTGTATAGGGGAAGGAGGGAGGAGTTTGTTTTTTTTTTTTCAGGGATGGGGGTGGGGAGATTCTTCACCACTAGGTAGTGAGCAGATATAGAAATGATTTAATAAGGTGTATTTGACATTGACTTTCCTAAATAGGTTTAGTTTATATTTATCAAATTGTTTTTAAAGCCGTATATGTTTGTTTGATATTGCACATAAAGTTCTGATATATTCACTAATTGAACAGCCTAGTGAAATTCTGATTCACTTAAGACATCAGAATATTCTTAGGTAAAAAATTATCGAAAATTACTTATAAAATTATATAAAGCCATATTCTTAGCAAGTGTTCTCACAAACTTGGTGAGTTGATGTAAGATTCTTTGTTTCTTTCTCTTTGAAAGGCCACTAAACACCATCAATCAAAGCTATTTATAAGAAGTATGTCCAACTTAATTTTCTGTGTAAAAAATCTTACTTGGTTTAAAAAAAAAGCACCTAGCTTATAATTATATCCAATGACATTTAGTAATGGTTTTAGGTTTTAGGTTGTTCTCAATATAATGCTTTTTTAAGCCACGCAGACTATCAAATTCATCACCATCTGGTATGCACATAGCTTCTACTCAGTTAATAGTGTATTACATGTAGTTACTATTAGATTAATTATATTGATGAATTACAAGTCTTATTGTATTTTTCCTTAGAATCCTTAATGAAATAGCCAACCTGGGAGACAAATCAAGATCTCTAGCTGAAGATGGCTTTCCATGTGGAAGGATTGATAGCCATCATTGTGTTCTATCTTCTGATATTGATGGTGGGGATATGGGCTGCTTGGAAAACCAAGAACAGTGGCAGTTCAGAAGAACGCAGTGAAGCGATTATAGTTGGTGGCAGAGATATAGGTTTGCTAGTTGGTGGATTTACCATGACTGGTAGGTGCCAAGATTTTACCTTTCATCTTACTGGCTTCCTTTGAAGAAAAATTGTGTCGATGCTTTGTGGCTTATATAATGATAAATCCGCAGACCTTGATCTTCAACTTCATGTACTCATTGATTTGAAGGAAGCCTTCTCTGTTGCTAAACTAGTAAAATTCTAATAGTCTAGCTAACTATATAAAAGTTTTTAAAAATCAAAATGTTTTAAAGCCTAAGAGCCATAAAATTTTATAGCAAAATTGACTTAGTAAATTTCTTAGGAGAATATCAATGAATAAATACATAGACTGAAATGTGTCTCAATCAGGGTTGGCTTTAGTTGATGAAATGGAAACAATGTGAAAGCAAAGAGATGGATGAAAAGTCTAAATCAGTCCTGGCTGTCAAAATTAAGATGAGTAGAGCATGTAATCTCCAGTAATAAAGAGGAAACTAATCAGGGCTTTGTTATACTAGGAGATACCAGGATAATACTGTTTTTACTAAAATCTTAAATGATAAAAGTCAATGAATATTACTGATTGATTTGTCATTTTTTAAAAAATCTAAGCAGATAAAATCAAGAGCAAAATTTTCCATTGGATTGAAATCTTAATTTATAACCAATATTCCTGTACTAAAATTTTATTTACTAAAAAAAAATGAAAATTGAATGTTAGCAATATAATGCTGTAATGCAAGATCACTGAAGACATATATTGCTAATAAAAAAGAGGAGAAGAAACAATAGGGAGTGCCCTAGGAGAAACTCGACTGTCATCATTCTCTCTTCTCCATCAATTCATTGTGTTCTACAGTATTGTCCAGCTTTTCCTCCTTTTCACCAGAATATCATTTCAGGAGAGAAATGAAAGTAAAGTGAAAAAAAGCATGTGCATATGTCAGTATTTTATACTGACATATGTCAGTATTTTATACACAAATGTTCACTAATTACTAATGACTAAAAGAATTATGTTTTCAGCACCTCAAAGTCTATAGTATATTAATGTCGTTTTAAATTATTACAATACCCCTTGCATTGACAGTCTTTTCTGCTTTCTCCCAGTGCCAACTGAAAAATAGCAGCTCCGAAATTCTAATAGTTGAGCCCTGAAATTCCATTAACAATATGTGTTTCTGCATAGCACAGTTATGTTGCCAGAACTGAGTTGGTGAAAAATATTTCTGCATCTTGAATGTATGACTTTGCCTAGCTTAAGTATAAAATATTCTGGAATGATTTATTGGATACAATAATTCATCTTTCAGAAATTTATATAGCCAGCATACTACAAGTGTCTGAGATAGGGTTAAAGCACTAGGACAACTCCCTTCATAGATCTATAAACATTACTGGGGATAAAAAGGGTTGGGTGTGGATTAAGCACCTGCTGATCTGCTATGTCCATTACAGAATGCCTCTCAATTTGTTCTTGTTCAATTTTTTTCCCAAGGTGTGTGCCAAGTTACTAAAATATATTGGAAATATTTAGTTTCTAATCATTTTATTAAAAGTATCAAGAACTATATCTCTTTTAGGAGACCTGTTTTTCTCATAGCATAAATAGTCAATGATTTTATTGCATTTTATCCTAAATTTGTAATTAAATTTGCTAAATAATTATACAACTGTTTGATCATCCTGCATCTATTCTATGGGGAAGATAACTATCCTTTTAAAAAACAAAAGGTAAAAAACAATTCTTTCTCCCCCCCAACCTCTCACACTCATTGTTTACAGTCACATAAGGAACTTTTTATCTTTTTTGTTTGTTTTTGTTTTTTTTTTCTTTAACAATGTAATTCATTATTTACTTATTTTAACAGTCTTTTCTTTTTAGGTTTTGAATCCCAAATTCTCTCCCTACCCCACTCACTGAGAAGGCAAGCAATATAACATCAATTATACATGTGAAATCATACAAAATATATTTCTACATTAGTTGTATTTTTTTAAAGCAAAAAAAAGTAAAAATTATACTTCACTTTGCACTTAGTTCATCAGTTCTCTCTCTGGAAGTGGATAGCATTTTTTCATCATGAGTATAAAGAACTTTCAATAGAAAAATATTTTTATTGCTTGATCAAAAGGTCTAAAATGAAGAATTTTGTCTAATCAAAATGCTAACTAAATTAAAATGATACAATTATAAGTTATAGTCAGTCTCACAGTAATTTACCTTTTAGTCTAAACAAAAGACCACCATGATGAAAAATTGTGTTTGTGTGACCAAACATTGCTGGTACAGCTGTCAGCCTCAGTGGTTAACAACCTTGCCAGGAAGAAATGGCTACAGGTTTTGTATCTGTAAGAATACACTATTCTATGATTTGGGATTAAACCCTGATAGAAGGCTGTTATTTAATGAAAGCCTCTCTAAACTGTTTAAGACTTAAATACATAACTTGAAACTGTAACAAGGTTAGAAGTGAAGAAGAAAAATATTACTTATTATTTATTATTTAATAACCCAGAAAAAAAAGGTTTAGGGTCAAGATGGAACACAGGGAGGATGGGTGACATAGTACTCTATATCAAATAACTCATTTCAAATGTTCTCATTTTATACAAAAATCTTTAGTATTTAATACCACTTAGGAATATATTTTCCAATTGTTTTTACCTTTTTAAAATAACACAAACTAGAGACATTTCATCTCATTAAATTTTGTTTCGAGTTTCTCTAATAGCAGCAGGATCATAATAATAATGGTAACAATTACAGCTAATATAGATAGGTGTGTACATACACAAAGCAAATTTTGTAAACCTTACAACACTAATACAAATACATATGTGTATATCATGTATGTATATATATATGATTTATGTATATATTGTGTATATATACACATACATATATATGTATATACATATATGGTATCTCATGTTGCTCATTATTTAGCAGGCTGGCATAGGTGACAATAAAAGCTGCTAAATGGTACAGGGTGATCTATAGCACTGGGGCTGGAGTCAGGAAGACCAGAGTTCAAATCTGGCCTCAGATACTTAGCAGCTATGTGAGTCTAGGTAAGTTACAACATGTTTGCCTCAGTCTCTTCATCTGTAAAAATGAGCTGGAGAAAGAAATGGAAAACCTCTCCAGTAACCTTGCCAAGAAAACCCCAAATGGGGTCACAAAGAGGGGGGAACAAATGAAGACTGAACAATGAACAGCATAGGTGACAGTAGCAACTAAAGCTAATTGGTCTTTGCTGAAAAAAAGGAGATAGTGTAGCCATGTCTTTTAATTAAAGGATGCGTTCATTACAGTCAAATTATAAACTCAACCTGCTAATACCAAATGAAAATTAGGGTGATAGACTTGTGTAGACTGTTTTGAGGAAATATCATGAGCTTCAGAGATTTTAAGAGAGCAGAAAATTGAAAGATAAAATAAAAAGCTCTTCCACTGGTCAGATTTACTGAAAGACCTGTGATGTCTTTTTTAATGCATTGTAGTCACAATTTTAACGCATTGTAGTCACAAATGAACATGGGAATTAAGAACAAAAACATAAACAAGAATATGGAGAATCAGGAGCAGCTAGGTGGTGCAGTGGATACAGCACTGTCCCTAGAGTCAGAAGGACCTGAGTTTAAATCTGGCCTCAGAAACATGACACTTACTAGCTGTGTGTTCCTGGGAAAGTCACTTAACCCCATTGCCTAGACAAAAAAAAATTATGGAGAATCTCATGGTAAGAGGTAATGTACATAAAGGAAACTTTGCAACCTTTAAAGCACTATATAAATATATCTACATATGTGTGTACATATATTTCATATATATATAAATGTGTGTGTGTGTATGTCACTTGTAATTATTACCATTATTATCATTGTGACCCAATATGCTATTTATTCTGGGCCTTTATATTGGATCTGTTACCAGGCAATTACTACTACTTGAACTTGAAGGTCCTTCCCATGACTCACTGGACCTAATACCTGGTTATCATTCTTGTCCATATGTGTCCAACTCTTTGTGACCCCATTTGGGGTTTTCTTGGCAAAAATATTAGAGTAGTTTTCCATTTCCATCTCCAGCTCATTTTACAGATGAGGAACTGAGGCAAACAGAGTTAAGTGATTTGGCCACATAAGTGTCTGAGACTCAATTTGAACTTAGGTAGATGAGTCTTCCTGAATCATCTGGCCTGGCACCTAGTAGGTGATACATAGTAGGTGTTTAATAAATGTCTATTGACTGACTGGTTTTAATAGTGATGCCTCATTCCCCCTCATTAACATTCCTTTTCTTATCATCCTCCTTTCTATTGACGGAACTGAATTTTATTTTATCTTTGACTCCTATAGCTTAACACAGTGCCTGGCACATGGATACTTAATAAAAGTTTATTGAGTGAATGAATATTTACTCATATATGTAACCCGTTTTTATGTTGTTTGATGTTAATCTAATTTGTTGTTTCATTCTTATGGTGTAATTTAATTGAGTCTTTTCCGAAATAACTGTTTCATCTCAACATCTTTCCTGGCATCAGATATGCTTCAGGTGGCCCCAGCCTGCCTTTGCCAGCAAGCTAATTCAGTGCTATTGCACTACGGAAACATTTGATTTAAGAACAGGCACAATCATTGTCTAGGGAAAAGGAATATTTCTCACTTCTTGTTGCTCATGGAAAAACAGTCTAAAAACAAACAAACAAAATCCTTAGTTTAGAAGTTTTAATTGTCATATAGTGATGATGATGATGATGATGATGATATTTGCAAAGCACCTACTATATGTCAGATACTGTGCTAAGCACATTTTACAAATATTATCTCATTTGATTCTCACTACAACCCTGTGAGGTGGGTATTATTATCAACCCCATTTTATGATTAAGAAACTGAAGCAAACAGAAGTTAAGTGACTTGCCCAAGGTCACGCACCTAGAAAATGTCTAGGGCTAGATTTGATCTTGGTCTTTGTAATTCCAACACTCTATCCACTATATCACCTAGATTTCTTGTTCATATTTCACAGCACAAGTACCATACTGAGCATAGTTCATTCATTTGCTCATCAAGTATTTATTAAACTATCAAGTACAACATGCTATTTGGAGGCAAAAGAGATAAAGCCATAAATAAGATAAAGACTTTGCCCTTAAGGAACTTACAATCCAGTAGAAGGAGATAAGACACATACCCAGATACATAGGGTGCAAATTAAAATATAAATATAAAATGCAATGGGAACAGATTAGGAGAGGTTAGTATGATATAAAGAGTCCTGTTTGGATTTGGAGTCAGGTGGTTTAGGTTCATATAATGATTTTGGTATTTATTGTCTCAGCGACCTCAACTACCTTTGGAATTTCTCTGCCTCAGTCTGTATAAGATGAGGGAGTTGACCTAGGTGGTTAGAAGTTTTGTTTTGTTTTTTTTCCAGCTCTAATTGTATGATCCTCTGATGTAAAACTGTTTTACAGTTAGGTGTGGGAGGGAATCAGGGGTAGCATAATAAGGGAGGTGGAACTGATTAATTGTTAGGCTGTCAATAGGCAGTGATTGGGAAGGAGGGCATTACAGGCATATGATCTTGCTTGAGTAAAGTTTGGAGCCAGGTTCAATTCAATTCAGTTAACAGACATTAAATGTTTACTAGGTACTAGAGCTACAAAGACAAAGGCCAAGAAGTCCTTGTCCTTAGGGAGCTTGTATTTTCTTCTCTCCTGGCATAAAGGCAACTGTTCTATTGAAAAATTTAGGATTATCATCAATAAATATTCCATGCACAATTGCATCCTGTACACAAAAAGTGCAGGGTTCCAACAGAGCAGAAGTTTGCATTCTAAAATAGACAACATTGGCATTATAAGCACCAGGAGAGGAGGGTTGTTTCCATTTTTACAATTTGTATCCCCAATACTTAGCAAAGTATCTGGCACATAGTAGGTGCTTAATACACATTTGTCGATAAGTTGCTTGATTGACGCAACCCTGTGAATCCAACATACAAACAGCCATACTGCAACCATCCCCACTTCAGAATAATCATGAATAGCAAGGAGAGAGCAAACATGTAAACTGGAGGAGATTGTAGGGAAATGGAATCATAACACTACAGATTTAGAGCTAGAGGAAACTTTAGAAGTCAACTAACTCAATTTCCTCCTTTTACAAATGACAAAACTAACATTGACATGAATATAGCCAGACATCCACCTTTATAAGGACATTTTTAAAAGATGTTGGGAAGGATTGCTTAGTATATTGTAGATCATATTTTTTCCTGCATCATATAATGAATAAAAATAATGATGGCCACTTAAAAGGCTAAGTGATTGTGTAGAAATATAACTTGATTTCCTATTGTTTCATTCTTTTTCAGCCACCTGGGTTGGAGGAGGTTACATAAATGGGACAGCTGAGGCAGTTTATGTACCAGGTTACGGTTTGGCTTGGGCACAAGCACCAATTGGATACTCACTTAGCCTGGTTTTAGGTAAGAAAAAAAGCTGGAACACAGTGACTAACTAGATGCAGGTGGATCAATGATCTTAGTGTGGGCAAGCTCTCTGCTGAGAAAGTTTGAAATCCTACTATATTTCATTGTGCATAATTCTCATGCATGCCTTTCCATACATCCTCCATAAGAAGCACTGGATGAGCTAGACTCCTTCCTCTGGCTTTTTGAATTTTAAAAGTCACAATCTAGTATCTCAACTCTCCATCTGTAGTCTGTCCTTGCTTTGTGATTAGTCTATCTCACGTCTTGGATGATGTCTTGCATACTTTTTCTGACACAAGTAGTCATTGGTGGCATGCGTCAGCCTATTTATTGCCTCCATGAGTCTTTCCATTAGCTTTTAAGTTAACAACCAGTAATTTTGCATCATGATTCACCAGCATGTAGTGACGTACAAAGCTATTGTTATGGAAAAGTGGATTTTCTGGCACTTCCACAATTGCTTCATCATTTCCCTCAGTGTACCCAAACTTGAATCTCCCCCTCCTATTAAATGGGGGGCCCAAATTATTATTCTGCTGCTGTATCTATTAAACATTTTATATTGTCACTATGCATATATATATGTATACACACACACACACACACACACACAGAGAAAAAGAGGAAGGAAGATGAAAACGGAAGGAGAGAGGTAAAGGTAAGGAGGAAAGGAGGAGAAAGAAGAGGGAGAGATAGACAGAATCAGAGCTAGAGACACACAGAAACAGAAATTAAGTCACTCAATATTCCATCCATTAAGTTACATGCCACAATCTGGAAAAAAAATGTTGGTGCATTTTGTTTTGTCGGTATAGATGTATAAGAAAATGTCTTTTAATTGTTATGTATTCCACTCTGAAAGTGTTGTAAATAATAATCTTTGCATAAATCTATGCCTTTTTCTTTCTCTGTATGCATTGGGGATTTTTGTGTGATTACATTGGTAAAGGGAATTCTTAATGATAAAACTCCCTCTACCAATGCATATCTGCTATTATTCTGAACTAATAGTTCAAGAGAGTTGTCTGGGGCATGGAGACATTGAATAACTTAACCATACTCACAGTCAGTATTTGACAAAGGTACAATTTGCATTCAAATCCTCTAGACCCCAAGGCTGACTCTCTAAGCACCACTTTTTATTTATATAGGGAATATAATAGACACTATAGAAATATTTAAGTGAAATACTTATGAAAAAAACTTACACAGATGTACAAGCTGCACAGTATTAATGCATGGACAATTTGATCATTTGATAACAGAATGTCTCAAAGAATTTCTTTTAAGATAAGGACAAGTAGAATGCTAAGGATTCAATGAGTTTTATCTCTTATTTTACTTCTTTCAATGATAGTCTGCCTATAGGTCATTAGTATTTTTACTATTAGAATTATCATCATCTTCAAATGTGCATGAATTTTGCATACAATTAGCATTGAATCTGAACAAGAGACCACATAAATGGAAAATAAGAATGAAAGAAGATAATACCAAGGAATAAAAAAACTACAACTATTCTGAATGTGTAGTCTCAGAGATTTGCCCAAGGCCTTGAGTTGACCATATTAGTCATAGCCTGGGTGAGATCTGCATTCACATCCTTCTGAAGACTTGACTCAGACTAGAGCTTCTACCAGGACTTTGCACTCATACCAAATTCCTAAATAATATCTTGAAAATGCAAATACTATATATAGAGTTTTGGAAGACTTAAGATAATGCCACAATAGGGACTTCTGTGTTATTATAGTGGGAAGATCTTTTATAGCTTTTATTTTTCCATTGCTAAATTCTTCAGATTCAACTTCATGCAGAAACTATTTTAGACTTTGATTTCTCCTCTATCTCTTTTCTGTGCTTTTAGATTTCACTGTAGGAGGGAACCTTCATTTTTTTCTAATTGTTCCTCTATCCCCCAATTTTATGGCTTTCCCAGAAAATATTGGAGTCCTTTAGGAAAATATTATACTTCACACAGATGTAAAAAATTATAACATACATTATGGAAGATAATAATTGCATAATAAATTTTTAAAATTTTATGTTTCTTCTGTTTTGGTTTTAGGTGGTCTGTTTTTTGCAAAACCCATGCGTTCCAAAGGGTATGTGACAATGTTAGATCCATTTCAGCAACTCTATGGGAAGCGCATGGGTGGACTCATCTTTATTCCTGCCCTAATGGGGGAAATGTTCTGGGCTGCAGCTATTTTCTCTGCCTTGGGTAAGGAACCTAAAGAATAATTTCTACTATTTACTATACTGGTGACTCTGGACATAGATCATTTAACCTTCTTAAGCCTTGGCTGTTTTTTTTTTTATCTTCTGTATGATACAGATATTTCTTTTCCCATCTTTCCCTAAAAAATTATTGTGAAAATAAATGTGATCATTTGTATTCAGTATCTGAGGTCCTCAATCAGAGGTACAACCAGAAGCATAGTTGGGGCAAGACAATCAGAAACTTTACCCCACAGTGCTGAGCCCTTGAACTTATTCATTATCACAGAAACAATTTTGCTTAACATTTAGTTAACAAGACAAATTAATTAAAGTAGGAAACCACAAACAGCTTACTCCACCTATCTGCCTCACCCCAAGTGATCTCTTGGTCATTTCAACATTCCCACTATGCCCTTTTTGTGCTCTTTGTCTCCCTCACTGCTCTCTCCCCCATGCTCCAAAATGAATTTGTTTAATAAGTTGGCTTGACAGAGTTTCTAGTTGCCTGCCCTAGGCACAAAAAATTATAGATATAGCACTAGGCAATAAATAGAATAAAAATATTGTCATTTGTGGAGCTTTTAACTTATAAATTCCATTTCCTTTCATTCAAAAGACAAACCTTGCTACTGTAAATTCCAATAGAAGATAAGCTAGGAATGATGTATATTTTTTGTCTTTGTTTTCCAAGCACTGAACAATTCTTTGCACATAATAGTTGCTTAATGAATGTTTATTGAATTGAATTACATTGAATTGAAATGTTGACAGTACTTTGCAGGAAAGTTCAGTAAAAAACAGCAACCACAATGAGAAACCAACCAATCCAGGAAATCTTTCAAGGAATTGAGGAATTTCAATATCAATCTAATGAATTATAAGTAGAAACCATTTTTAAAATGGATTATAGCATCGACATGCCACCAGTTCATGTCAATAATTGTTTACACACACACATACACACACACACACACACACACACACACACACACACGAAAGAACCAGCATTAGGGGAAATGACATTATAATAGTTATTGTGAAATAATATCAAACATGGAAACATTATATAGGAATATCTCTAAGTTGTTCAGAATGAGCTCTCCTAGCTTCTCTACAATATTAACTGCTGTGTAGGTTCCTATTGGGCAGGTTTCTTGGTCCTTAAGGAATTATCTGTTGATAAGAAACTCAGTAACTGTGGCATGATAACTCTCAATTACCTCTTAACTACTTTCTTTGATATCTAAATTGCTGCCAGCAAATTACTAAAATTCTCAGAAGAATATGCTTTACTGGTCCAATGGTCCTTGTGCCATGTTTATGAATCATTGCACTATATAGATGGGACCTTGAGATACTATCTGGTCTTTTAGGCAAGGGAAATACTGATTTTCTCCTTCTCTCCCTCTCCCTCTTTCTCTCTCTCTCTCTCTCTCTCTGTCTCTCTGTCTCTCTCTCTCTCTCTCTCTCTGTCTCTCTGTCTCTCTCTCTGTCTCTCTGTCTCTCTCTCTCTCTCTCTCTCTCTCTCTCTCTCTCTCTCTCTCTCTCTCTCCCTCTCTCTCTCTCTCTCTCTCTCCCTCTCTCTCTCTCTCTCTCTCTCTCTCTCTCTCTCTCTCTCTCTCTCCCTCTCTAATTCTTGGGGTTGGTTCATTAACACATCAACATCATCGCAAATTATCAGCAACATGTTAGGGTTAGTTCATTAACATAGTGTTTGAAATGATGTTCTACTGGTATTACTGTGTATGTCTGGTGCTTATCTGAGGCTTACAGACTACAGGAAGTTAACAGGACCAAGGGATTCTTACATTAAGACCTAGGTGGCTTCCTCTGATTTAGCATATAGTCTCAGGATGTGGTCATAGTTATCTAGGAAGATAGTTTTCAGTGGCTCCTATGTTCCTCTAATTTATGAGGCAGTTTGTAAGTAATTATTGTGCTCCCTTAATTTATAGGACAGTCTATAAGTGGCTTCTAGGTTCCTCTTTGCAATTTTACTTCCTAGTGTTGTTCTGTTACACAAGCTACTTACAAGCTTACATGCTATACTAATTGGAAGGGAGTGGTATTCAGAGTAATCAGAAGAAGATAGAATGTTAACACAAAGTGAGATTCAAAACTAAGTCAGTCAACTAGCATTTCTTAAGTTCTTACTATGTGCCAGGCACTATGCTAAGTGCTGGGGATACAAAGAAAGGCAAAAGAGTAGCTGCTTTCATGGAGAATCCAATGGGGGAGATACAGCCATGTACAAACAAGATTAAATATGTTAGAAGGAGGGAGTCTCAGAAGGAAGGCAATAAGATTAAGGGAGACTAGGACTTGCAAAAGATGGGACTTTAGTTCAGACTTAAGGGGAGCCAGGGAAGCCAGGAGTCAGAGGTGAGGAGGAGGGAGAACATTCCAGGCAAGGAGAACAGCCAATGAAAATGCTCAGAGTTGGAGTATGCTGTGTGAGGACCAGCAAGAGGCCGGAGTCACTGGATGGCAGAGTACACATGAAGAGGTATAAAGTATAAAAAGACTGGAAAGGTAGGAGTGTGTGAAGTTGTGAAGGGCTTTAAAAGCCAGAGGGTTTTATATTTGATCCTGAGGTAATATGGAGCAACTGGAAGTTTATTGAATGGTGGGAGAGGGGGTGATATGGTCAGATCTGACTTTAGGAAGATCACTTTGACACCGAAGTATAGGATGAACTGCAGTAGGGAGAAACTTAAAGCAAGAAAGGAGACCAATCATCAGGATTTTGAAAAAGCCTAGGCATGAGGTAATAAGGTTTTCTTACTCCAAAGCCAAAGTTGTTTTGTTTTGTTTTGTTTTGTTTTGTTTTGTTTTTTCACAATACCATGAGAGCCTTTGAAATCTTTCTTCAAAGACTCATTCTAATACTTTTAATTTGCTGATGCTCATAAATGCTTTGTATACTTACAAGGAGGGTATGGAGCAGGAATGTGCTTGTAGACAAATGTTTAATAACTGGCTCTCAGGAAAAAAATATACTTTTTAAGTTTAATTTGACATACTAATACTTTCTTCATCATTTTCTTAAATCTAGACAATCAACAAAACAACAAATTAAGTCCTGATTTGTAGCTTTTTGTGATTGTAGAGGTATAAATACTCACACTGAAAATTTAACAATCAACTCTCCTCAGCCAAAATGGCTCAAAATGAGCTGACTCCAACATATGCCTGGTATGGAAGTAATAGGTACATAGATCTATGGCTAGAAGTAACCTGAGAAATCATCATGTCCAATATATCCCACTTAGACTTTCCTAGGCAGAAAAATATAAGGATAAAACATTGAGTCTTTTGTCAATGTGGTGTAACATAATGCTTTGAGTATTGGGCTTGATATCACAAAGAACTGGATTCAAATCCTGCTTCTGACACTTGTGAATTATGTGATCATGGACCAGTGAACTTCTTTGAGGGTTTGATGTTTCCATTTATAGAACGGGAATAAAAAAATGATAACATGTAGGACCTATCTCACATGTTTATTGGAAGGATCAAATGAGATGAGGTATATAAAGCACTCCTTGAAAATGTATTTATGATTTTTGCCTTTGGTACCACCACATTGGCCAATATTAAGCAGCAGGCCAGTAGGTTGGTTATGATTTTGTTCTCTTACAGTAACAGGAAGGGCCACAGAACCTCTCCCCTCACCCCCACCCCCATATACACCATGTTTTCTGGAAGCTGTAGAAATACCAGACCTGTTATCAGAGACAGACAGAGACAGAGGCAGAGAGGGAAAGAATGAGAGTCAGAGAAAAACAGAGAGAGAGAGACAGAGAGGGGGAGAAAAAGAGGGAGAGAGAGAGAGAGAGAGAGAGAGAGAGAGAGAGAGAGAGAGAGAGAGAGAGAGAGAATTTAAAAAAGGAAAGAAAGGAGCCTCAAATCTCTAAGGTACCTTAAGAAGCTGTGATGGCTGGTACTGCTGCTGCCTACCTATGCCGGGTAATGATGCTCAGCAAACACTACTGCTCCCACTTAGCAATGGAATTGTATGCAAAAGTGCAGTTCCTTTCTTGCCCTGCCTTCATTAGCTCAAGAGCAACAGGGAGCCTATTCACCATGATTTAATCATGAAACCCTTTAGGTTTCCAGAACAAACTGCCTGCTGAGGTGACAGGGAAGGAAGGAGTGGGCTGGAGAGCTTGGAGAAAATACGCAATGTTCACTCTTGCTGAATGAAGATCAATTTATTTGGCAAGACCTTGGAAGGGAGACAGCAGGATTAATTAGCTAATGCTTTAAAAGTACATTTTAAAAATATAAAGCACTATATCCATAGTCCGGGGATTATTGCAACATCTCAGCAATTTGATCTCTCAATAATTGAAGGAGAGAGTCACATGGAGTAGTAGAGAGTTGGCTTCAAAGCCAAGATACTCTGGATTCAAGTCCTGCCTTTACCGATAGTGGATGACTGACCCTGCACAAATCATTTAATCTATCTAGGTTCTAGATGCCTACCTGAAACAGTTTCCTCACCTGGGAGTTCAAAGTACCAACAAAATCACAGGTCCAGTCCTAATTTATAACTTAAAGAGCCATCGAAGCATCAACTTGATTGAAAGCTATGACTTTACATAACATTATTGTTATGGCTTAGTAGTTAGTATTAATAATTCACATTTCTGTAGCACTTTACAAAATATTATCCTCAGTATAACCCAGAGAGACATATAGATCGCAGGGTATATGGTATGTCCAGGGAGGACTAGCATGTCTGGTGTGAGGGCTTGCTGAGCCATTTTTCAAGGCTATTCATCTATCTTTGGTGTCCACCTGCCACTCAACTTTTACTTGTGGCTCCATGAAACTGTAGCATGTGCAGCAGCCATACCCCAGGAAAACCATCAGAGGGGCTAAACAAGGTTGAGGCTAATTGACAGGCCTCACACCTATAGGTGAGTTAGAGGGATGTCTACCCCAATCTACTACCTATTCTACTGAGCACAATTTTTTTCCCAGTTGCCATGAAGATAGCTGAAGCAGGTGCTATGAAATGCTTACAGCTTGGTCAGACATCGAAGACAGCAGGGTCATCCACTGCTCCCTGGGTCATTGCCCGTCATCCTGATTTTTGTCTTGTGACTAGACTTTGATGACTCTGGAGGAGAGAGTGAGGCAGACAACTTTGCACAACTCTGACTCACTTAGGTCTAATTCAGGCACTAGTCAAGACATCACCCTGAAATGTCCTCTTCAAAAATTAAGGATGACTTACTAGCTGTGTGACCCTAGGCAAGTCACTTGATTCCAATTGCCAAAAAAAAAAGGAAAAGAAAAAAAAGAAAAAAATTAAGATGAACAACAACTCATTTTACAGAAGAGGAAATGGAGGTTCAGAGAGATTGTCTGTTTTTCATAGTTGTGAAGCTGATAAATATCAGAGCTGACACTTGAATCTACCCATTCTGAACATAAGGCCAGTTCTTTTTCCTCTTTGCTAAGCTACTTCTGCAGTAGCTCAACTTTGTTTTATAAAATATGTTCACACGATGCCTATACAATAGTGACATGTCTAAGAATGATAAGATAATACAGTTGATAATAAAAACTCAGAAATAGCTCAGTGAACCAAAATACCAGTGAAATAGTGAATCATTGTTATCTCACTGTCTCACAATTAACCATTTACTATTTGCCACTACATGTACGAGAAATACTAAACAGATAGAAGTTTTCACCTTGATGCCCACAGCAGAAGATCATAAAATGAAAAGCTCTCCATCAGTGAAATTGTTCTATCAAGGTTTTTTCCAATAATAATGACAGTAAATAACATTTATATAGTACTTCAAAGCTTGCAAAACACTTTATAAATTTTATTTCATTTTATCTTCACAACAACCTAGAAGATGCTGTTATTATCCTCATTTTTATTAGTGGGAAATTGAGCTAGCAGTTTAGGGCAGGGTGACATAGATAATAACTGTCTGAGGCTAGATTTGAACTTCAATCATCCTGACTCTAGACCTAGCATTCTATTTACTATACAACCCCACTGCTTCTAAAGATTTACCTGGCTGACTTCTATAGCATCTCTGTATTTTTTTTAGATATGTAGACAAAAGTATAACCATGGGGGTACTGCAATTCCAACTGAGATCTCATGGTAGATTCACCTATGAATTGAGACATTCAAGACAAGTTGTGGATAATAAAGTCATCTTATAATTAAGGTGAAGAGGTAGGCTTTCTTGAAATATAGGGAAAACAAAATAGAATTAATTCCAAAAGGTCACGGTTAGATCTGAACTGGTCATTCTATAGAATCAACTTGGAAAAATAATTGAACAATTGTAAGGGAGATAGAGAATAAAGCAACAAAAATATATAATGAAGAAAACAGTCAGAAAACACAGTGAAAGCCTGAAGCATGTTATCAAACTGAAGAAATAAGAAAAATCAATCAACTAATTTCTTTTCCAATTTTTAAACTGAGGTTAATATTTCTTCCTGGTCATTTAGCCTTCTTTCGGATTTTCCAGCCTCCTTTCAGTTGAGGTATTCTCTTTAACCTGATACTCTGATGAACCCATGATTTAACTGGTTTGAGATCTCCCTTCAGGGGCAACTATGTGGCAGTGGCAGCTAGGTGGCACAGTGGATAGAGTGCCAGGCCTGGAGTCAGGAAGGCCTGAGTTCAAATCTGATCTCAGACACTTACTAGCTGTATGATAACCCTGGGCAAGCCACTTAACCTTGTTTGCCTCAGTTTCCTCATTTGTGAAATGAGCTGGAGAAGGAAATGGCAAACCACTCCAATATCTTTGCCAAGAAAACCCCAAATGGGGTCACGAAGAGTCAGATACCACTGCAATGACTGAACAACAGCAGCAGTCCCCTTCTCTGAGAGAGACAGATCTCAGATCCTCCCCTTGCTGCACAATTTTTGTCTGTTTTACCATGAATCCCCAATGAAGATGTGCTTACATTTACTAGTCAGCTGTAGGACAGTTCAAAACAAAGGTATTTAATGAAACACCACAGTTAAAAAAAAATAGCAATGGTATATCTCACACTCCTAAACTTGAGTCTTATTTTCCTTCAAATACATCAGTGGGAAGAATAAACATACACAGGGAGCACTCATGGGGAATCACAAACAAGGAAAGCATGTGGCTGGAGCACATGCCTAGAAAGGCAATTCATACTTCTCACTCTGTAGGGTGTTGATGTACTCTGGTGATGCCATCATATTGCTCTATCTGAACCAGCAGTGGGAGCTGTTTCCTGCTGGGCCTATACCTGAATATGGTGCAATGTCTCTGGTCTTTCCCATTGAATATTATGTTTCTGAAATTAACTCTGTCTTCTCTTCTCCTTCTCCTCCTCCTCCTCCTCCTTTTCCTTTTTCTCTTCTTTCTCCTTTTCTTTCTCCTTCTTTATCCCTAACTCTACCACTGGGCATGTGATACTATTGGTATCATTGTAACTGAGTGCTGCTCCCTGACTTATTGTTTTTTCATAGCAACTTATTCATCATTTCAGTTCTAGTCTAGAAGGTTGGTTGGACTAGGAATACTCTCCCCAGTAAATACAGGTTTCCATCTCTTTAGCCCTAACCAGAGGATACAAGCCACTATACCCAGGTAATGAAAGGCGGGTAGAGTATGCCACGCTGCTTATCTTTCTTTTAAACCTCATGTCCGAAGTTGAAATTACATATTTTGTCCTTGACAAATATGACTTAAGGTTAGAAATTTCTAACATCTTCTCTCACTTAATATGGAAATGAATTTGAACTAGAATAAAAGATAAGTGAAGAAAATAATGCCATTATATTCTGCCCACATGGATGGCATTTGTACTTTTGTTATTTATACCTGACACTAGTAAAACCTCTACCATTGGTGTTATGTTTTGATCAGCAAAAAGCTTTGCTGTCTCCATATGTACACGCAAAATCAGAGAGGAAAATAAATTCTTAAAAATTAACATGTTTACAGGACCAAACAAGAGTTTTTTGAATCATCTATTCATTTCAGTTATGTATGTCCTTGGTGTGAATATTTAGGTGTTAATTACATAATAAGAGGTAATTTTAAAAGAGTAATTGCATACCACATAAAAGTGCAAAATATCTCTTTTGCACGTTAATATTAACAATATTGCTGTTTAGTCATATAAAATGCAAATCCCTAGGAGACATAATTTCCAAAATATTTGTAACTGCTAGATGTCATAAAGGTAGAGAAAAGTATAATTGATTTCTAAAACTAGTCTAGATTCTTATTTTAAAGACTACTGAGAGCAACAAGCAGTATTTTTTTATCTGGCTTCAAGGTATGTTGAACACAATTACTAACTAGACAACCCAAATTAAAATAGTTACACATGCATTAAAATTATGTGAAAGGAAAATACAGTAACATTATTAATGGTTCCAAGAGTACTTCTATTTAAATGTCAGTAATAATAATAATAATAAATAGCATTGATATAGCACTTTAATATTTACAAAAGTACTTTGTATATGTTAATCATTTTATCTTTGTAGCAACTCCAGGAAGCAGACACTATTATTATCCCCATCTTACAGACAAGGAAACTGAGGCAGACAGGCTAAGTGATTTGTCCAGGCTCACATAGTTAGCAAGTCTCAATTCAGATATAGATATATAACTCCATCACTTGCAGAAAATAATTTTCCTCCAATATGATGAATTAGAAAGAACACTGAATTTAAAGTCAGAAGCCCTGGATTCTAATTCTCGCTCTACCTATTTACTATTTCTGTGACTTTGGACAAGTTACTTCCCTTTTTTGATCCTCAATCCCTCATCTGTAATGTGAAGTTGGACCAGATGACTAGATATTCTCTAAACTCTTTTTTTTAGGTTCTATGAAAATACCTCACATATCAAACTACACAGAAAATAAAATCTAATTGTCCTTTAAGCTTAACTCTTTTGACCATTCATGATCTTGAAAAGAAGTACAACTCATAACACTTCAATGATAGTATTTTCTTTTCATTTAGGTGCAACCATCAGTGTGATTATTGATATCAATATAAACATTTCAGTTATTGTTTCTGCCTTGATTGCAATTCTGTATACCCTGGTGGGTGGACTCTACTCAGTTGCATACACTGATGTCGTCCAACTCTTCTGCATCTTCTTGGGATTGGTGAGTTTGGTCAACTATTCTTCTAGTTTTAAAACAGTGATACTGTATGACAAGTCAACTAAAATCAGTTGATATGTATTTCCCATCATGTTGGCACATAGTTATTAACACAGTAGTTAATATTCCTACTTTCTTTAACCATGAAGTAGTCATTTTACAAAACAAAATTGAAACAAAGGTGTGAACTTAATTTGATACCCAAGAATTTCTTAGGCTTTTCAGAATTCTAATGCTTTTCAATTGTGTAATATCAAGTTGGAGAGATTATCTTTCCTTGATCCACCCTTAGGTGTGAAACATTCTTTGATCTTGGGAGATAGTTACTATCATCAAAATTTAAGAGAAATAATCTCCTGCTAACTTGTTTGGTTTTCTTAAGTAAGTACTCTAAATCCATGGTGCATTATTTCAGGTGACATCTTAAAACCATTGTGGGAATGAGTGCATGATTCGTTATATGTGAGTTGCTTAGGAAAGAAAAACTATATCATGTGAACACATGGTTATATTCTTCTCTTTTACTTGTATCTCTAACTATAAATATAAGACTTACCTCTCTGAGGAGTATAAATAAGATTCATTAATGCTTTTGAATGCCATTTGTTATTATTTTTAATACAAGTAGACCAGGTCTATAGGCAGATATGTTTTTCTGTCATTGAAATTTTCTGCTAATTACTTTCAAATTACTTTAGAGTATTAAAATTAAATGCTATGATTATGGTTTTAATAACAGTTCACAGGTAGGTGCCATGAGGGCACCAGGAATAAATAAACAAATAAGTAGACTCAAATACCACAGTAAGAGGTCAGACCCTAAGTTCAGCAATTTCCCCTAGTACATGTCACTACTTTGGATATGTGATCCCAACAACATGAATTATCCCACCAGGTGTAAAATTCACAACCCATCAATTCACATCTACTTCTGTGTGATTGTTGCCCATATCTTCCCAGGTGTAGTTCTCTGTGAATCTTATTCAGGGTCCTTTCTTCTCATATGACGATAGAGCTAGAGCTGGAAGGGACCTCAGAGGCCAATCCTTTCCCTTTACAAATGAGGAAACTGAGGTCCAAGGAGATTAAGTGAGTTTCTCAAGATCACATAGAGAGTATCAAAGGCAAAATTTGAACCTGGGTCCTCTTTCTACTGTTTCACATCTTTTTCCTTTTTTCTTCATCATCTTCTAAGCTTTTCATAGTGCTCTAGTGCTCAAACCAGGTATTTAGAAGGAAAAAGGAAAGGAACTGAAATTTAAATTAGTCTGACTCTAGGTATTTTAGGCTTGATGGAAGAATGTTGAAATTAATGACTAAAATCAATCTTGGAGCTTAGGTATGGACTTATTCATTTATTGTTATCCTTTAATTATTACACATAGGAATTACTAAGTTCTATGATGTCCTCTCTTCCATCACTATAGATTTTATTTTTATTATTGAGATTTTTGTTCAACAGGGTTTTATATTGGCCATGAGAAGCTTTAAATTATTCAAGTTCTCTTTTATTTATGTTTTTAATGGCAACAACAAATAAAGTCTCTTGAAAAATTAAGGCTTTCACCCACTACTAGAATGAACTCTCAAACCACAAAGAAGAAAATGCAGAGTTAAAAATTAATTTATCTTCCCAGAGGATGTCTGAAATGGACTTTGCTTGGTAATGCTATATGTCTAGCTTGGTACAGATAATGGATGACTGGCAATGTTTGTAAGAACATAGGAGCTTAGAACACGTAGCCATGTGATATCATAAAAATGGTAGGACAAAGAAATCTGAATTCAAATATTAGAAAATACCATTCAAATGACACAGGGTACTGCAATCAAATTGTATATATGAAAGTAAAATGCTAGAAAATGCTAATTAGCTAATCTGCAAATAATTGACTCCCTCAGTGAAGTCACTATACAATTATAGCAAGACAGTCATCTTCCCAAATTCAATAGTCTCCTACTTTAGAGATTGCTCAATTATTAAATTTATATTTCCTTCTTCTCAGGCTATAGCCATATTACATAAGGAGTAGTGGAGAAACAAGAAAAGTGGAAAGCTAGGAGATTATGAATAGAAACAATAATTTTGATTGAAGACCTCAGAGATGTAGTAACATTAAAGACCTACAGTGTGGCCATGTTTGTGGATGACTGATCTGGAACAGATATTGACATTGATGGAATTGAAGAAATGTGAAAACATTATTAGAAAAGCCTTTGACATGAATATGGAAGTCATGGAAGATAACTACCAGAGAGAAAAGACTCAACAAAGTGATCAAGTTATTGAGGAAGGAAAAAGGGTCAATAGATGGCTGTGACAAAGATGGAGAGAGTGTTCAGTCATAAAATAGCATCATAATAAAAAAAATCTCAGAGTTATAAAGTACCTAAGTCAGCATTTAACCCAACTTCTATCTGAAGAGGAATCTCCTGAAAGCTTTGTTAATCAATTAAGTTAATCCATCCTATGCAAGAAGACCTCAAGTGAGAGAAAAATCGGTCTTTTAATAATCATTTATTAAGCCCTTTTTAAGGAATTAGAGATACAAACACAAAAGTAAAACAGGTCTACCCCTCAAGGTGCTTATATTTTAATAGGGGAGAGATATATGCATGTATACAAAATGAATACAAGGGAATTTTAGGAGGGAGGGCACAAGTATCTGAAGAGATCAGGAAAGGCTTCAGGTAGCTTGCAGTGCTTGAGCTGAGCCTTCAAATAAACTAAGGATATTCAGAGATAGAGATGGACAGAGTCAGTGCAAAGGTATGGAGATGGGAAATAAATATGTGTGTTTATGTCTGTATATACACGTGTGTGTGCAGAATAAAAAAAGGTAATATGGCTGAATCATGGTGTATAGAAGGAAGTAATAAGGAGACTTGAAAGTTAGGAAAGGGCTAGTTTGTAAAACATTTTAAATACCAAATAAAGGAATTTGTTTTTGTTCCTAGAAGTAATAGGGAGCTGCTAGAGTTTACTGAGTAGCTGGTTGACAATTAGACTTCCACTTGATAAGAATGACTTTGGTGGCTGTGTAGAGGATGTAGTGGAATAAGGAGAGAGTCAAGATAGAGAGAACAAATAGAAAGGTATCGTAATAGTCCAGGTAAGAGGTGGTGAGAGCCTGAATTAAGATGACAGCTGTGCAAATGAAAAGAAGAGGACATATGTGAAAGATGATATGGAGATAGAAGATTTAGCAAATGATTGAACATTTGGAGTAAGAATGAGGAGACAAGAATGACATTGAGATTGCCAACCAAGGTGCCAGGGAGGACTTGGTACCCTTGATAGTAGTAAGGAAATTCAGAAGAGGTCGAAGTTTTGGAGAAAAGGTAACAAATTTTATTTTAGATATATTGAGTCTGAAATGCCTACAGAACATGTAGTTTATATGTCAAAAAGACATTTAAGGATATGGGATTGGAGGGCAGGATTAGGACTGGGGTTAGAAACAGAGACATGGAAGTTATCTACATACAGAGCTCCATAGGAGTTAATAAGGTTACCAAGCGAGAGAGCGTAAAGAGAAAAAGTAAGGGGTCCTATGACAGAGCTTTAGGAGATACTACAATTATTACATATTACATAGTGTATGTGCCACCAAAGGAGGCTGTGAAAGAGTAATCAGACTGCTAAGAAGGAACCCAGAAGAATGGATCACAAAAACCTTGAGAGGACAGAGTATCCTAAAAGAAATGACAGTCATTAATGTCAAATGTTGCACCGAAGTCAAAAAAGTTGAGGATGAAGTCATGGAAATGAAGTGTTCATTGGTAACTTTGGAGACAACAGTTTCAGTTTAAAGGATAAGGTCAGAAACCAGATTACGTTTAAGGTTAAGAAGAAAAGTGATGAAGTAGAGACAATGAATGTAGACAACTGTTTCAAGGAATTTGGCTTAGAAAGTTAAGAAAGAGATAAGATTTTAATTAATGGTAATAGTAAGATCTAATGAGAGTTTGTTTATGGATTAGAATAGCCTAAGAAGAAACATCTACCTCCTCAAATAGTCCATCCAAAATTTGAACAGCTCTAATTTTTAAGAAGCTTTTCCTTTTTTGTATTAAAATCTGCCTCTTTGCAACTCTATCCATTGCTCCTAGATCTTCATTCTGAAACTATGCAGAAGTCTAATGTATCTCCTAAGCATTTGAAATACTTGAAGATAACTACCATGACCACTGCATCTCTTCTCCATGTTATGTATTTCTTGTTATTGCAATCAGTTCTTTGGTTGAGACCCTTATGGAAAGACCTGCAATATGCTCACCAAGCTGCTCACCAAGCTGCTCACTCTATTCTCCTGCCCAGTCTTCAGTTTGTCAGTGTCCTTCCTATAATATGGTGCTCATTAATGAACACAATATTCCAGATGGTACCTGACCATAGTAGAGTGAGATTATCATCTCCACCTACCAAGAGATTACATATCTATTGATATTGTCTAATATTAACATTTTTAGCTTTCATTCCATATTTTTGACTCATAATTGATATGTAGTCCACTGAACTCTGATCTTTTTATTTCCACACAAACTCTTGTCTAGTCTTGACTTCCTCATCTGGTATTTATACAGTTAATCAAGTTTTCTTTTCCTCCTGTTTGCATTTGGACTTTTGAACATTAATGCCTTGTTAAAGGATTTGTGAATTGGTCCAGCTTGCTGGAAGATAATTTGGAACCATGTCCAAAAACTATCTAAATTGTACATACTTTGGCCTAGTAAACCACTACTGATCCCATACTTTAAAGAGCTCAAAGAGAAAGAGAAAAGATCTTTATGTACAAAACCATTTGTTGAAGACCTTTTTGTAATGGAAAAGACCTAGAAATTAAGAAGGTGCCCATCAATTGGGAAATGAATGAATAAATTATATATATATATATATATATATATAAAATGAAATATTATTGTGCCATAAAATAATGAAACAGACAATTTCATAAAAACTCTGGAAGGCATATATGAAATGATGCAGACTGAAGTGATAAAAACCAGAATGATTTGCACAATAACAACAACTATGTCAAGAAAAGCAACTTTGAAAGACTTAAAAAGTCTCATCAATATAACAATCAATAATGATTCCAAAATACCAGCGATAAAGCACATGTGACCCACTCCCTGACAGAACCTCAAGATATAGAATGAGACATAAGTTTTGGGACATGGACAAAGTGGAAATTTTTTTTCAGTTATGATGCATGTTTATTATGAGCATTTTGGATTTTTTCTTTCAATTTGGATTGGGAAATAGGAGGGAGAGAGAATGCAGGAATACCCCCCCCAAAATGAGAAGAGAACAGTAAGAAGATGAAAAGAAATCAGAGAGAAGCAGGGCAGCATTGAATGTTGCATATTGAATTCAATACCTACTTTCAAAGAAAAGTAAACTCTGCATAACAGTGATTCATAGCTTCATGTACAATCCTCTCCTTACGTTCTACAATGTATATGAAAGTGATCATTTTATTTGGTATTTGTAATTGCAGAAATTAAAGAAAGAAAGGAAAAGAGAAGCATTTGGTCCTTTCCACTTCATTGTTGAGACCTTTTTGGAACATAACTGGCGTCTAGTGTGCTAGCTAGCACTCCCAGGTTTATGTCCTCTTCTTCCAAATCAAAGATAAAAATGTTTAGTATCACATGGCCAAAGACTCCATTAGAAACTTCTTTCAAGGTTAATATTACTTAATTAATGACTGTTCTTTGAATGTAGTGAGTTTCAACCAGTTTCAAATCCACCTGTATGTACATATTGATCACATATCTACAAATAATATATGAGTAATGCACAGGACTCTCAAACATTTTGCTGATGTCTGTGTATTCTCTCTTTACAAAATTCTTGTGATCTATTGATATAGAACCCTTGTCAAAAAGAAAGAAAATGAAGTTAGTCTGGCATGTCCAGTTCTTGATGAGTTCTTGATGATGCTAGCTGTTAGTGAATAGTATTTACCTTTCTAAATGTTTATCAATAATAATATTCTGTAATTTTGCTAGGAACAAATTGCCTTGTCTATAGTTTGAAGACTCCACTTTCTTCCTTTGGGTGAAACTCAAGTCATTTTCCATTCTCTAGATCTAAAATAATTTTTTTATTCCCCAGAATTTCTCATTAATCCTTAATATTGATTAGCTATTCCATTAGCCAGGCATGTATTTTTTAAGGACTGATTACCTAGGATCATAAAGGTAAAGGTTTAGACCAGAAGGGACCTCAGGGATAAATTCACTGAGAATAGCTACATCCCAAGGTTACTTCACTTTCCTGAACCTCAGTTTCTTTAACTAAGAAATGACAGTATTGGACAAGATGGCCTTTGAAGTTCCTTCTATCAATAAAACTATGATAATATGATCCTATGTTCCTTACCATCTTCTTACAAGCTGAACATTAGTCGTTTTTGTAATCTTCCTTCCACCCCAATTATCTGTCAATATTTTTGACAGGTAAGATAAGAGTACAATAATAGTTAGGCCTTTCCTTCACCATGCTCACTAATTTCCCATCTACCTCCATGAATATCAAAAGTGGAGAGGTTGTTAGTTATGGCAACAAAACAATGGTCAGGAAGCATCATTGAGAGGCAGGGAGTATGCTCACATCTTTACCTTACCCAAGTGTCGGAAGAGATGGGGGATAGGTAAAGGATTAACTAATACTGAATAAGGTAACTGGATAAGAACAAGATCTTCTCTGAGGTAGTCAGGTTTCACTTAGAATCAATAGTTGAATTTGCTTTTAAATTTTTTATTGTCTTAACTTTTGAATTGTTTTGAACTATTAAAATTTGCTTTTCTCTCTCTTTTTACCCTATCCCTCCTCAAAAGTCTATTTTGCTTCTAACTATTGCCTCTCTTAATCTACTCTCCCCTTTATTTCCCCCTCCCTTCTCTTATCCCCTTCAACTGAGTCTTTATGTGTGTATGTACATATTTTCTTCTCTCTTTAAACCAATTCCAGTGAGAGTGAGATTCAAGACACCATTCCCTCATCTTCCACTCTACTGTAAAATCTCTTCCTTGTATGCCTCTCTTATTTAAGATACTTTCCCCCTTTTTTCCTCTCTCTTCCCACTTTTCCCACATCATCCCTCTTTCTCAAACTTTCTTTTTTTTTTGAGATCTTACCAACATAATTGATTCACACTTGTGTCCTCTATGTTGACTCCTCACTGCCCTAATAATGAAAAAGTTATTAGGAATTGCATGTATCATCTTCCCATGTGAAAATGTAAACATTTTAACCTTATTAATCCCCTTATGATTTCTCTTTCATATTTCTCTATTTATGTTTCTTTTGAATCTTGTGTTTGAATGTAAAATGTTCTGTTCATCTCTGGTCTTTTCATCAAGAATATCCATTTTTCTCCCTGAAGAATTATAACTGAGATTTCCCAGGTAAATAATTCTTAATTGTAATCCTAACTCCTCTGCCTTCCAGAATATCATATTCCAAGCCTTCCATTCATTTTAACATGAAAGCTGCTAAATAGTGTGTGATCCTGAGCTTCATGGTATCTGAATGGTTTCTTAATGGCGGTTTGTGATTTTTTTTCTTGACCTGGGAGTTCTGAATTTCGCTATAATATTACTGGGAGTTTCCATTTACAGGCTCTCTTTCAGGAGGTAACCAGTGGATTCTTTCCATTTCTGTTTTACCTCCTAGTTCTAGAATATCAGGGCAGCTTTCCTTGGTAATTTCTTTACTTATGATGTCCAGGCTTTTTTTTTTAATTTTTATTGTGGCTTTCCGGGTAGTTTTAAAAGGCAATTCTTAAATTTTCTCACCTAAATCTAATTTCCAGATCAGTTGTTTTTCCAAGGAGATATTTCACATTTTCTTCTATTTTTTCATTCTTTTGACTTTGTTATATTGTTTCTTGATATCTCATGAATTCATTGGCTTCCACTTCTCTAATTCTAATTTTTAAGAAATTATTTTTTTCAGTGAGTTTTTATGCCTTTTCTTTCCCATTTGGTCAATTCTGAATTTTAAGGAGTTCTTTTCTTCTTTTGTCTTTTTTTACCATTTGGCCAGTTCTGGTTTTTAAGGTGTTATTTTCTTTATTCTTTTATCTCTCTTATACCAAGTTGTTATGAAAAGACATCTCATTTCGTAATTTTCTTGCATCACTTTCATTTCTTTTCCCATTTTTTCCTCTAACACTCATTTCTTTCTTTGGCTCTTCTAGGAATTTTTGTTGGGTTTGTGTTTAATTTGAACTGTTTTTTTGATGCTTTACTTGTAGCTGTGTTCACATTGTTATCTTCTTGTAAATTGTGTCTTAATCTTCTCTGTCACCATAGAAGATTTTTGTGATCAGGTTCTTTTTGTTGTTGTTCGCTCATTTTTCTGGCCTATCTCTTGACTTTTAACTTTATGTTAAAGTTGGGCTCTGTTGCCAGGGGTGGGAGGGTGATATGACACTATCCCAAGCTTCAGGTTTTGTTGTGCTGATTTTTTCAGAACTCATCTGGGGGTCTGTGAGTTTTCAGTACTTTCATGGTGGTTTGATCTGGGGAGAGGTGTGGTCACTGCTTTCCAAATCTCTGCTCTGATCTTTACTCAGGAAGGGCCTTGCTTCTATGTGGCGAGAAGTACTAATTCTCCTCTACACCCTGGAACTACAACCCACAAGTGTGTGTGGGGGGGGGGGCAATACAACAAGGTCTTGCACCCAGTGCCAGTTCAGGGTCCCCTATAATCTCTTTCTGACCAATTGTCCAACCCCCTTATTATTTCTGGAAGGAGAGCTCCTGAAGCTACTACTACTGCTGTTTCAATCACCAAAGCCTGCCACTGGTCCTGGCTGCTGCTTGTCCCACTCCAGTGTAATAGACTTCTTCTTCTGACCACCTAAGTTATTTTTTGGGCTGGAAAAAAAATGTTACCCCAACCTTTTGTTGGCTTTGCCACTCCAGAATTCAATTGGATACGTTATTTTAAAGTTGTTTGGAGGGGAATGTTGGAAGAGTTCAGCTGAGTTGCTGCTTCTATTCCACCACCTTGGCTGTGCCTTGAACTATTAAAATCTGAACGTAATGTCATAATGTTAATTTTTTTTTTTGTTACAGTGGATCAGTGTACCTTTTGCGATGTCACATAATGCCGTTGCAGACATTGGGTTCACTGCTGTGCATAAACTTTTCCAGGACCCTTGGTTGGGATCTCTTAAATCAAATGAAATCTATACTTGGATTGATAATTTTCTTTTACTGGTAAGTGATATCTTACAAATAAAACATCTGGTTTTCCATGGAGTAAATCTTCATATTTTAACACACTCAATAACTGACTAAAAGTCTCTAACTAAACTAGGTGTCAGGTGGGCCAGGAAAGCCTACATTCTGTCACATTCTGTAAGATGGGCCAAGTAAACCCTGGGAGTCCTTTCATTTTCAATGAAGCATCAAATGTATGTGGCAGCATGGTGACAATAATGAAAAACAAATCTTGACTTGTTGATGGAGTTGACTGATGCTAAAGTTAGAAAACAAGGTCACAGGCAAGGGTAATAACTTTGGCTCTGAGACTGGGCTGTTCTTATGCATAGGTGAAATAGGCAGCTGTTTACACATTATAATTTAAAAGGCACTATAAGGCACCCTGCCATTATTTTTTCCCATCAGCCTATTACAGTACCAGAAAATCTCACAAAGCCTTTTTGAGTTAAAACACAAGAAGCAACACTAATATATAAATGTTGGATTAAAACTTTAACAACTTATAAAATTTACTTATCAGAGTAGAGAGTGAGCCAATTAACAATGTCTTCAAAGGATGGAACTTAAAACAAGTAATAGTTGAAGGAGTGGGCAGTCTGGTAGAAGGAGAAATTGTCAAGAATGCTTTTAAGAAATGGTTTCCACAATGAGAAACCCTGGGAACAGAGTAAGGAAACTAGGTATTTGGGAAGTAAAAGGAGCGGGAATAATTAAGGAAAAAAGAAAACCAACCTGCCAACCTAGGGTTCTGCCTATCTGAGAAACAAAGGGGCATATTTTCAAAAAAACATTTACTACATGTTGTTTCTTTGTTTATAAAAGAAACTTTATTTTAGAAAACAAAATAAAAAATTAATTTTGCCAACAATGTGATCACCTTAAAAGTATTCCTTTTAGTAAGAACTCTTTATTTTTAATGCTTAGTATGATTAGATTTAATATTACCACATTGACCTAAAATTCTTTTGAGTTCTAGTGGCTACTACAATTTTTAATGAAGTTTATGTTGACATCCTGTCCAAAATTCTAAAAGGAAATTATGTCAGAGATGTCTGAAATGGAATCATGGTTCTGAGAGGTTTAGGAGAATAAAATATTAGTTTATTATTTTTCCTTACAAAAAAGCATTTAATTCCAATGAGCATGCCATAGTTTTAAAAGCTTTCCTTTAACAAGGTGCCTCGTATACATGTATTAGGATTATACAAAATTCCTTGATGGACAAAAACATAAAGACAACTTTTAAACAATTTCAAAGTTTGTAAAAAAAAATGATGTTGCTTATCAGGGGAGGAGACATTTCAGGCATAGGAAACTGTCTTTAGACAGGTGTGACAGTAAAATATGTTTTAAAAGGTCAAGAGAATTTTACAGTTTGTCTTGAGCATAAAGGACATGGATGGGAATAATATGAGATAAGTAGAAAGGTAGAGTGGCACTAGGTCTTAAATACCAGGTAAAGGAGCTGAAAATTTACTTAAAAAGCAATAAGGAGCGACTGAAGATTTTTTAGCAGAAGAGCACATGACTACATCAATACATTTTTAAAAATACTCTGGCATGAGGGGAAGAAAATTTTAAGAGAGGATAGGGAGTAGTGAAGGATTCTTGTTCATGTTCAAGTTGGACTAGATGTACTCTGAGATTCCTTCTAACTTTGATATTCTATAATTCTGTAAAAGTTGGTAGGAGGGACCCAAAGCAGAAGAAAAGATTGAAGATGCAGGAGAGTGGGGTGATTTCTGTTGAAGTAAAGTGTCATAGAAAGCAGGAGAAAACTTGAGAAAGAGTTATATATCAAGGAAGAAGTAGGAAAGTCTTTTTTGTGAAAAAATGGAAGTATATTGAGCTACTAAGGAGTCTGGATGATATAAAGTGGAGACTAAAAAAGGTCACATATTATATTCAGTTTTCTTAAAGGAATTGGACCTGTTCGCCTGGACAAAAGAAGATGAAGGTGGGGAAATAGTTGTCTTTAAATACTTGAAGGGCTGTCATGTAAAATGAAGGTTAAATTTATTCTGTTTGACCCCAGAAAGCCAAGTTAGGATGAATGGATGGAAATTTCAAAAAATCAGGTTTAAGCTAGAAGTTGGAGTGGGGGTTGAAGAGGGAGAAACACTGCCTAACAATGGAAGCCATTCAAAAGTGAAGTACCTAACTTAAGAGATGATGGGTCTTGAAGGTCTTCAAGCAGAGGCCAGCTGATCATTTGTCAACTCTGCTAGAGTGGGGATTTCTTTTATCTATGGAATGGGGAGCTGAGCTCCCTAGCAACTTTAAAATTCTTGTGATTTAATTCTCAGTAAAGTAGAGGACAAAACCAACTGATGTAAGTGTGGAGTTTGTTGATGGGTTTGGTTGGAAGAGTAAAGAATAAAAGATCTGGAACAGCCTCTCTGCAGATAGTGAAATGAGCTATCAATAAAGGTAGGACTGAAAGATTTACATACATTTGCAAGATCCCAGCAGAAGTTAGATACCATGAATTCATATTGAACACAATCAGAAAAAAAAAATTATATTTTTTTCAGTGATGTTTAGCAGACATTAAGTAGGAAAGGAGAAATTAGATGGCAGAGTTACTAAGGAATAAGAATTCACAGATGAAGGACTACATCAAGTCAGGGAATCTAGAAATTCTAGAGTATCTAGTGAAACAGAGAAATGGCAAACCATAGGGACAAGGCTGGGTATAAAGGAAAGCAAAGTCAGATTGAGGGAGATGAACTTGGAGAAATAGAATGACTCAAGGGATGAAAAGACACAATAAAGATGAAAAATTGACTATAGTACCTATGAGAGAAATAGAAGAAAAGGAGGTTGTGAAGAGTATAATTTTAGAGTTCTGGATCTTGGAGGTAATGCAAATCTGAGAAATGATATAATATAATTTGAGTGAAATGTAGCTGATGTATGGTGGAAAAAGAGGTAGCTGGAGTTAAGGAAGCTAGAGAGGTCATCACAATGAACTTTGGAATTCCTGAAGGTGGCAAGAGATGAATGATAAAGAAAGAACATGAATCAGGAGATATGTGTGTGTGTGTGTATATATATATATATACACCATACACACATATACACCCATGCATACATACGTGTGCATATATGTATATGTATATATAAACATTGAAAATGTGAAAATGATGTGGAGATCAGTACATCACAGCAACAAGGAGAGGGAGAAGCTGGTACAATCAGTTGTCAACAAGCAATTTTTAAGTACCTACTATATGTGCATAAACCTACTGGTTTATGCACTGGGGATAAAAAGAAAGACCAAAAAAAAGTCTCTATCCTCAAGAAACTCACAGTCTAATGGGGGAGACAGTAGACAAAGCTATACACACGTGTGTGTGTGTATATATATACATATGTATATATATACACACATATGTGTGTACATATATCCATATATTTACACACACATACACACACTCACAACAATGTATATATGACAACTATGGAGAGAGACACACAGAGAGAAAGACAGAGAGAAAGAAAAAGTAATATTGTCTGAATAAAAAGAATAGAACTATTTTTAAATATAAGGTCTTCAAAAAAGCCAGTGTAGTATCATAGGTAGAGGGCCAGTTTTGGAGTAAGGAAGAACTCCATTCAAGTACTGCCTCAGACTTGCACCAGCTTTGTAACCATGGTTATATTATTTAATCTTTCAGTGTCGCAGATACTAACCACTAGTATAAGTTACAAAAAATTGCCATTCTCATTGGTAAAGAGTGTTTCTGCACCAGGAATTCTCCACATTGATGAAACCACAAATTTCAGAACATACATGCCATCATCAAACTGTATTTGATTGATATACATATCTTTCCTCTGGAATAAACCTATCCTGCACTAGAGTACTTTGCCAGCTAGCCAGCAGTACACTTTCCCAGTAGCAACACTGGGAACTGATACATTTTGATTTTCAAGTTCTTTATCAATTATCTAAAATTTGTATTATTAACAAACTTCTTGATGATAGATATTGTACAATGTCCAAGGTTACAGCTTCTCTTCCATTAACCATATTTTCAATTAGTGTCTTTCATTTAGGCAGGCATTCTTGGCCCCTTGCTAAGATAGAGACATGCTCTAGTCTAATCAACAGTGAACTTATAAATCATATATTGGGTGGTTTATGATCTAGAAAGATTTCTACAAAATCGAATTATATTTATGTATGTGAACTTTTGTCATCCTGATTTTAACAAGAATCAAAATCTGTACCCTATTTCTGGCAACTCACCATACATGAGATAAGAATTTCCTATTCGCTAACTATAGTACAATAGTCATACTTTGGAAATAGAGCCATAATTGGATTATCAGGAAGCATATTGTAGCTGTCATTTCTGGCAGTGTTTTCAGACTCAGACATAAGAGAAATATTTGATTTATTTGCAGATGATGGGAGGAATTCCATGGCAAGCTTATTTTCAAAGAGTTCTATCATCATCTTCAGCAACCTATGCTCAAGTTCTATCCTTTCTGGCAGCTTTTGGGTGCCTACTGATGGCCCTCCCAGCAATACTTATTGGAGCAATTGGAGCATCTACAGGTTAAGTCTTATCTTGTTACTGCCAACATCATGGTCACTAATACGTATAGATTCGAAACCCCATGTTAGTTGGTTGATTTGGATGTTGGTTTTCAACCTTTGAATTTACTTGGCATAAAATAAGCCACACAACAAATCACAGTAATTTCCAAATGGTTATGTGACCTGAGAATAGAAGGCAATACTTCTTACAACTCTGGTGAAAGAAAGAATTCTTAACAAACAGGTGATACAGGCACTCACAAAGGATAAAATAGATAATTTTAGTCACTCAAAATGAAAATATCATTCACATTGAATGAATTAATCAAGATAAAACAAGAAGAAAAAACTTGATTGGGAAAATATTTGCATCAAATATTACTGACAAAAATTAATAGTTAAGATACACACATGCGTGTGCACACACACACACACACACACACACACACATACATGCAATCCTGAATCATTCTGACAGGTGAAAGGATATGAACAGTTTTCAAAGGAAAACTTGTAAACTGTGAATGGCCATATAAAATCATACTCCAAATTACTAGTAGTTACAAAATTTAAAATTGAAACAACTCTGTGCTTTCACCACAAACACTAGAAATTGCCAAATTTGACAAAAAGAGAAAGACAACAGATAGCATTGGAAAGAGTATGGAAAAAGAGATGCATTATTATTGGAATCTTCAATTGGTCTAACCATTTAAGATAACCATTTGGAATTTTCCAGTAAAGTGACTAAGCTGTTCATACACTTTGATCCAGGGATTCAACTAGTACTACTTTTTCCCAAAGAGGGCAAAGTCATAAATAAAGATATAAAATGTGCCAAAATGGTCATAACAGCACTTTTTTTGTAGACTGGAAACAAAAAGGATGCTGATCAATTGAAGAATGGCTAAAAAGAAAAGACGAATATAAGGAATTCAGAAAAAAAGAAGATTTTATGAACTTATGCAAAATGAAATATTCAGAAGCAAATGTACCACATACAAAATGATGCAATGTAGGGACAACAATCACTAAAAGAAAACCTGACTCTAAACAACTGTAAAACTAATAATGATCCCAGAGAATAGATTATGTTATATATCACTTTCGTCTCAGTAGAGAAATTGGGAATGCCATGCTTTATCTCTTATCAGAGGCCAGTATATCAAGTGTGTTTCCTTAACTGTTGTTTTTTTTTCTTTTGTTGTTACAAGGAAGGGTTTAATATGTGTTGTGGGGGGGGGGAGAAGAGGGAGGTATATTGTCATATCCACAAATGGCTATGATGTAAAAATAAAAGGCGTTAAAGAAAACTTTTTTAATGGGCCCTGAAAGATGTTGGTTTTATAGCTTCCTTGAGTCAAGTAGCCCAAATCACTTTGTAGGGGATCTGGGTTACATTTTGTAATCTTCCATAATAGCTGTCAGAGAAGAATATTCTATAGGCAAATGCACATATCCTTAGGACCTTGGGAACTACATTTGTTCCCTTAGGCCAGTTTGACTGAAGAATGCTTTAGAATTCCACGTTGCCTGGTACTGTTGCAGTGTGAGAGACTGAGACCCAAAAGGGGTCTGAGGACCAGAGTATAGGATGGGGTCATCTGGAATGAATTCACAGACTCAAGTATTCTTTGAGTCAAGGTGGCAAAGATTTATCGTTACGCTATACAGCGGGCAGAGGTCCTTAAGGAATTGCAACCTAACAGAAATGATGCTAAAGCTTATATAGGAAAAGGAGTGAATTATGTGCCAAGTATGCTAATTAGGTGATAACATACAACTACGTCATTTACTACTGGAAACAGGGGTGGGGGAAGAGAGGGCTCATAAGGGTATACTTTTGGTCTGTTATGTCTGTAACAAAATAGTTTTAGGAGGTGACGTCTATAGTTTGACCTCTGGATTGTATACATAATTGTAGGCATCAGTACTTGATAGTACAGCTGGTACAAGATAGTCCAGCTCATACAAGGGAAATTCTACAGAGGTCTACTTGTTCTTGTAATGGGGAGAGATAGTTTGCCTCACTGGGCCCACTCAGGAGTTATTGCCAGAGATAGGGTCTTTGGGCTGGAGGGAAACTGACAGGGATAGTGTCTCTGAGGCCAGGGAGAAATTGGACTCCAAGCACAGGCACCCAAGCAACCCCTCATTACCGCAGTCTCCAAAATCCCAGTTCATTCTTATGGAAAAGTAGAAAAATAATAATCTAAGACACAGACTAAATAACCTTCACAAAGTAGCAGCTTTTAAAAAAACTTAATTGTTTTATTCCTTTTTTAACGAGGAATGCATGTTAAATTCTCTCAGTATTTACCCAAAAAGCATTGAGACACTTATTTCTATTTGACTTGTCACTGGGAATATATAGTCTCAGAGAATCATTGAAATTAAGTGTTGGAAGGCCCATCTAGTCCAAACCATACCATGAAAAGAATTTACTCTATAACATACTGTACAAGTGGTCATTTGGGCTTTGCTTAAAGATGTTCAGTGAAGGAGAACTCACTCCTTCTCAAGGCCGTCTGTTTTGGTTTTTGGATAATTATAATTGTCATTTCCTTATATTAAGCTTAAAATTGCTCCTTTTCAAATTCCACCCATTTCTCCTAGATTGCCTGACCCCTGTACCCAAACAGAACTAGTCTAATCCCTCTTTCATGTCCTAATCTTTCAAATACTGAAGCCAGCAATCATGTCCCTTGCCTTTCTCCCAAATCTCCTCTTCTCTGAGTTAAATACACCTTTCTTTAACCAATCTTCATATGACATGAAGTTGAGATCTTTCACCCTAATAGTGAACCTCCCCTGCATATTCTTCAGCTTATCAATGTCCTTCCTGAAAGTGTGAAACCCAGAACTAAAGGTCTGTATTTGAATCCCAGCTCTGTCTCTTTTATTGTCCATAAGACCTTGGGTAAATCACTTGATCTTACTGGGAATTAGTTTCCTTATTTATAAAGTGAAGGCATTTGGTGAGGGTGTGGGGGAAGAATCCTCTCTGATGTTTTCAGTTTTTGATGTTTTCAGTTTCTGTTGTTTTCCAGTTCTATATGCTCATGATTTAAATGAATAGTGTATCTGACTTTACAAATTTTAATCCAACAGACTGGAATAAGACTACATATGGTCTTCCAGAACCCATAGAAAGGCAAGAAGCAGATATGATTTTACCCATTGTTCTACAGTATCTCTGTCCAGTATATATTTCTTTCTTTGGCCTTGGTGCAGTATCAGCTGCAGTCATGTCATCTGCAGATTCTTCAATCCTATCAGCAAGTTCGATGTTTGCTCGAAATATCTATCAACTATCATTCAGACAAAATGTAAGTACTAACTTAAAAATAATCATTCTGTCTCTCTTTTCCCTAAGGAGAAATGTGTGATTCCCATTTCATTTAAAGGCATAACATAAATTGGGACATTATCCTATTGAAGTTGAATCATTATTTAAATGCAAACCATAATGTGTGTAATTATTAGTATTAGTACTAATAGAGACAAATCAGTTGAATAGATATAAGCTCATTCCCCTGTACAGCAGGATCTGGGTATAAATATTCTTTTAGCTTGATTTTCACTTTATATCTACAAAGCTGCTTAGCAGTATCTCATTAGCCAAAGTGACCAAGTGCCTTAGTCAGTGAGGCCTGAAGTTACATTCAACAATTCATCTCAATTCAATAAACTAGTATTCAGCAATAAAGATTTATTGCAACTTGTGTGAGGCACTACGTTAGGCACTAGGGATACAAAGATAAAATGAACAACAAACCCCTGTTCTTAAGTAGCTTATGGAATGGATAACAGATAAATAATACATTTGAAGACAGAGCAAAATCATCCAATATGCAGGTGAGATTATCAGGAAGGATCTCATGTAGGAGATGACACCTGCCAAAGCCTTGAAAGAAACTAAGTATTCTAAGAGACAGAAGTGAGGAGGGAGTATACTTCAGTCATGAGGCACATCCTGTGCAAAATCTCTGATACTGGAAGTGGAACATAGAGACAGCTAGATGGCATAGTGAATTGAGCACTGGACCTAAAGTCAGGAAGATCAGAGTTTGAATTCTACCTCAAGCACTTATTATCTGTGTTACGCTGTGAAAGTAACTTAGCCTCTGCCTGCCTCAGTTTTTGAATTTGTAAAATAGGGATGTAAAATTTGTAATTTTATTTGTAGTTGTATTTGTAAAATATCATCTACTTCCCAGAGTTGTTGTATGGATCAAATGAGATAGTAAAGTATTTTATAAATGCAAACATTAATATCCTATATAAATGCTAGCTATTATTATATAGAATTCAGAGAAGAACTGGACTTGATTAAGTTAAGTTAACCAGTTTAGTTGAATCATAAAATACATACAGGGGAGTAATATAAAATATAATCTGGAAATGTAAGGTACTTTAAGTCTCTTCTGACAAAATTGACCTGGCTGATAATACACATTCCTGTCAATAACAGCTGACATGTATGCAGTGCTTTGCAAAATGCCCTACATATATCATTTCACTTGATCCTCAGTATAGGTGCTACAGTATTATTGTACTCATACCGCAAATAAGGACACCAGGGCTATAGATAGAACACTAGACTTAGGTCAGGAAGATGGGTTCACATTACAATTAATGCACTCACTAGCAATATAATATTTAGCACATCAATTAAATTCTCCATATGTCATTTATCTCATCTGTAAAATAAGGGACTTGGACTCAATAGCTTCTAAAACCCCTTCTACTTTTAAACCTGTAATTCTAAAATTTACTCATAGTCATAAGAGCATAAAGTGTTAAAGGGAGAATTTGAATACAGATCTCTGCTGACTCCAAGTTCAGTGCTCTTTCTACTTTACCACCTTACCAAGATTTTTCTCCCATAGCCACTGAAACAAAAAGCACAGGCTAACCCCACTTCATAGCATTTGAGTTGTTCAGTTGTTTCAGTCACATCCAACTCTTCATGACGCCATCTAGGGTTTTCTTGGCAAAGATATTGGAGTGCCTTGCCATTTCCTTCTCTAGCTCATTTTATAGATGAAGAACTGAGGCAAACAAAGTGACTTGCCCAGGGTCACACAGCTAGTAAGTGTCTAAGGCCAGATTTAAATTCAGGAAATAGGGGCAGCTAGGTGGTGCAGTAGATAGAACACCGGCCCTGAAGTCAGGAGGACCTGAGTTCAAATCTGGCCTCAGACCAAACACTTGACACGTACTAGCTGTGTGACCTTGGGCAAGTCACTTAACCTGGATTGCCTCACCAAAAAAAAAAAAAATACATAAACAAAAATAAATTCAGGAAGATAAGTCTTTCTGACTCCAGGCCTAGTGCTCTATCCACTGTGCTGCTTAGCTGCTCCCTTTGATTGCATAGTGGAGTGCTAGATTATCCCTATTGAAGGGCATGGAGACATCAGAAAACATACCCTCCAAATGCAACTCCTACCCTTGGCCATATTGCTTTTAGGGAGTCCTAAAGCCAGGGTTCATGCACTCTACTAAATTAAATAAATGTACAAAGTGTATCCAAGAAGTATACAAAGTGAAATAAATCTTTCCTTATTATATTAGCTATAAGGAAGAACATTTAAGTCATTCCTCCATTCTTTCAGATAAGCTATTCACCTCCTTTCTCATCCTTTTTAATAGAAGGGACATGAGCTCATAACTGTATTCTTCCATCTCTTCACAATAGAAGACATATAGAATCTTTTAAATGACCCTCTACTAGGAGATCACTAGTACATTGGACATGGGCTTGTCGTTTAACTTTATTTTTGTATAAAGCTATCCGAACCACAAAAAACGCCACAAAATTTGAAAAATAAAAGAAGAAAAGAAGATGGAATTTTTGTTTAATTGAAATGAGTCAATCCATTAATACTGTGAATTTTTCTTTTAGGCATCCGATAGGGAAATCGTCTGGGTTATGAGAATTACTGTGTTTCTTTTTGGAGCAGCAGCTACCGCAATGGCACTATTAGCCAAATCTGTTTATGGACTCTGGTATCTCAGTTCTGACCTAGTTTACATAATCATCTTTCCTCAACTCTTGTGTGTGCTTTTTATCAAGGGAACCAACACATACGGTGCCATGATGGGATATGTGCTTGGTCTTATATTCAGAATAACTGGAGGAGAGCCATATCTTTACCTTCAACCATTGATCTTATATCCTGGTCATTACCGTGATGAAGATGGCATTTATCACCAGAGATTCCCATTTAAAACATTTGCTATGTTCATCTCCTTTTTGACCAATATCTCTGTCTCTTATGTTGCCAAATACCTATTTGAAAGTGGATCTCTGCCTCCCAAGTTAGACTTCCTTGATGCTGTAGTTGCCAGGCACAGTGAAGAGAATATGGACAAGACAATTCTGGTCAAAAATGAAAATATTAAATTAGATGAGCTTGCACCTGTGAGGCCTAGGCAGAGTTTGACTCTCAGCTCAACTTTTACAAACAAAGAGGCCCTCCTTGACATCGCTTCAAGCCCAGAAGGCTCCAGTACAGAAGATAACTTGCAATGACTCCAGGGAAATGAAATACTGTTTCACCAGAGAGGGTATTACAATCATATAGCCAACAGAGGATGATACGCAGCCTTTAAGGGAAAAGATTAAGCATAAGTAAGACTTCAGGATGTTTTGCAACCAGAGTTAAACATCACTGCACCAATCCACGCCACATCAAGAGGGATGGGTGGGCAGCCTTCTATGAAATTAGTGATTATGTTTGTCACTTTCATTATTGTTTTAATAACATTTCTAGATAATTTTATAAACATCCAGGAATGGGGTCATCTCCTATTGAAAGGAGACAGCAGCAGGGGGTTTATAGATCATTTTTCAAAATGTATGCATTTTACTGGGGCTCCCCTGTATGTGGCGGGGGGAGTAGATGTTTACAATTAATTACAGCAGCAGCTTTAGGAAAATTGATGATCTCAATCAAAGTCTTGTGAGGAGATGACCCATCTAGAAAAATAAGTAGTGATTCTTTTACACTGTTAACAGCATAATGTCATCCTTCTAAAAAGTGTACTGAATTAGCTACTAAATTGTTTTTGAAGTGAAGTTTCAAAAAATCCTATAATGTCTATCTGAAATAGAAGGCCGAAAGTCTATCAGCTGTGTAACATAGTTTTTGTTTCTTCAGTTAGGGATTTTCATAAGAATGGCTGCTAACCTAATATTCTGAGCCCAGTCTCCAGATGTAAATTTATGAATATCTTCAAGTGGGTGTTTTCTGATGGTCAAGGTTTTAGCCAAACAAAATCTGCCATCAGAGAGGAACTCCTTGGTTCTCTGAGTATGCCCACTACCAATATATATTTACAGAGTATATCTAGAAGCAGAACAAAATTATTAGAAAACTTGGAAGCAATAACTTGAGCTAAAAAATTCAGCAAAAGGGGCTAAGGAGAACAATACAGATTTATGTTTTGCCTGAAGTAAATATAATTTTGCCATCATGAAAAAAAGAACAGTTTCTAGCTTCACTTTTGAAGTTGATATTGGAAGGAAATATCAAGGCAGATGAACGTAAATGTTGTTACCAGCACAGCTCAGGCTAAGCTTACTAAAAAGCAAATTATTAAATCATTGTGTATTCTACTAAATGTTTCCTACCAGCATTTCATCTCCCTGGCAATCATCTTAATAATAGGAAAACTAGAAGACTAAAAACTACCTATCCCTGAATTTGGGCTAATGGCGCATGGCACATTGTGACATTTACTCACTCCTAAACTCATTCTCCAAATTGAGTGGATAATCACAACAGTAGAGAATCCAGTGAATAGAAAAGCCAAGATGAAAGTAGAGAATCAGAAAAGTGGAAATAAATCCTGCTGCCAAAAGGAAGAAGCCATCAATTTTAACATTTGGTGTTATTATAACTTTCATGAGGTTGCTCATTATGTTATTTTTGCTCCTTTTCTGGAGTTTGAAAAATATGTATGTACATATTAGTATATATGTATAATTGTATGCATTCATTTCAGAATCTTAAAATTCTTTGTCCATCAACAACATTTCAGTAGTAACAGGAGTTGTCTGTGTAAAATTAAGGTTGGGAACTGAGCAATTAGCAGATAGAAAAGCTGAATCATTCTGGCCTAAAATTTTATTCTCCCCATAATTGAGTGTTGGCCCTATACAGACAGTACCCAAATTGATTTAGCTTTCAATATAGAATATAAACATCCATATTCCTGAAAAAAAGAATCAGTTTCTGGATTTCCTTTGTAATTTTCTTAAAGCACTGAATGAAACATAGATAAATTTCTTTTGAAGCAAGTTTTATGCACAGAATGGAACTTTCAGAGTAAACAGAATAGCAAAGTTAATCACTTTATTATCACATGAATTTCCAGATCCTCAGCCTGGAATTTATGGTGTGTTCAATTGTTTGGCAATTCTTATGAAGTGGATAACTCATTCCCCACTGGCCACTGGAAATACTCACATACAATGAAAATTCAATCCAAGTATTTGATAAGACAAGAACTGTGTTAGGTGTAGAGGAGAGAAAAATGCTCAGAAGCTGAGGCTATAAAGTCAAAGAATCTCCAAACATGAATGAAATTCTGCTGGTCCAGGAGAAGGATTCTGAGAAAGAGGAGGGAAGAACCCAAAACAACAAAGTGCTGGAAGTTTACAAAAGAAAAGTTGAACTACTGGGTAGAAAAGCAGGTATACTATAATTGCCAAAATGTCACAGAAATATTCATCTAAAACCTTTCACTACAATATAATTTCCATTTGGGATAGGGAGGAGTATTTTTCCCATGGGAACATAATTTATAATGGAAATTGTTAGGGAAATAGTCACCTTACAAAAAAAAATCAGGTTTCTGGGTCCCTTCCAACTTCAAATCTATGATTGTATGATCTGAATAGAAATTTGTTAGAGCACACATTTCATAAATTAAGAAATTATCTGCATCTATGGTAAGGTTACAGTAAGTTCTGGACCTGTGATTTTATTGTATTGGGAACCCTTAGGTAAGGGAACTCCTTCTTTTAAAGCAGATCTGCATTTGCTCTGGAATTTAAAGTGTTGGAGAGTTAGGCCCACTACTTGCGAGTAAAGCATTCCTATCATGACTACATACTTTATTTTCATGTGTTTTTAAATGACTAGGAATGACATGCTTCCATGTTTCTAGATGTTTCAAGAGTTGATACATAACATCAAGCTTTTTTTTGGTTAACTGAGATGTTAAGGATTAGCCCAAGTAAACTATTCAATATATTGTCTAAATCCAACAAAATATTTGGTATATGTATAGATAAGATAATCTTATGTGACTGAACTGAATGCAAACTTGAAAGGAATGAAACTATTATGATGGTTGTTGGATTTTCGTTATTGTTTTTATGCAGTGAACTGAGTTAATATTTTAAGTATAAATGGTCATTTTCCCTTCCAGTCTTCAAGCTGATTTGCTTTGGTATAATGTGCAATTAAAAACCAATTTATTGTAAGTCTGCTATTAGCCAGGCCTATGCATATGGTGGTTCTAAAATATATATTTTTTGTCTGTCAAAAATATCATGTAAAATTATGCTTAATATTAAGTAGATTAAACATAATAGATGTATATGTTTTCAATGCAATAATACTGTATTAAATTGTTCCAATATAATTGAGGATATCATTGTCTAGGTTTGCCTTATTTTTGGCCGCCTCTTGAATCAAATAGAAATGTATTTTATTAGCAAGTAGGGTAAATGGTGCTTTATGAAAACTATGCAACAGAAATTAAATAAAATTAACCCATTAATGAAGTCAGTACACATGTTCAGTGAAACTGCTGCATTATATGTAATTCTTGGGTGAAAACATGATGATGTATTCAAAATGCTAAAAAAAAAAAAAGAAGAAGAAGAAGAAAGAAAGGTCATAGAAAATAAGCCCTGTTGGGGGAGCTAGGTGGAACAGTGGATAGAGCTCTGGCCTTGGAATTTGAAGGATCTGAGTTCAAATAACACTTACTAGCTGTGTGATCCTGGGCAGGTTACTTAACCCCATTGCCTAACAAAAAACAAAAAAAAGAAAGAAAGAAAATAAACCCTATACGTGGAGCTTTAGTAATGTACAACAGTATCTAGAAATTCAAGGGGTCACATAGTTTTGCCTCCTTTCTTTGAAGAAAGTCTCTACCTAAATCTAAGACAGCTAACTGCCAAATCTTTCCTTCTTGTGCTTAAGCTCCTGGTGAAGGCCATTGTCCAAACAATTCATTGTAGCGTACTTAAGTAGTTTTTCTGTCTGAAAAGGTCTTCCCCATTCCTATCCTAAATCCTTCCCATTACTTTTTGAACTGTATTGTGGACACTCAGATCTCTCAACCCTTGGTTTTAAAATGATACTGTTGGGTGGGTGTGAGAAGTAGGGTATTAATAATGAACTCTTGAATGAAAAAAGCAAGGTCCATCAGGGTTGGGAAATTTACCATATGACCATACTCTTTGAGAGGTATGCTTTTTGCTATTTCTTCAATCTATGCAGTGGAATATGTGGAAATGAGAGTGAGAAAGAATGCACTGAAACAGCACTGGGGGAGAATCACTGCATGACACTGAGTCAGTTGGGTCATTTTCTTAGGGAAAATCTAAGTGAGCCCTATGTTCAAGTTTTAGGGTTCTGTTCGGGATCATTCATAAAACTAAAATATAGTTTTAACCTCCCAGGTCAGAACTTTAAAGCCCTAGAGAGAAAAATAAAACTTTATTTCCCACCCCACCTCCAAGACTACCCTACACCTGATAACATTTAAGATAATACTCAACAAAATGGTAGAGAAGAGGAAGAAGAAGAAGAAGAAGAAGAGAGAGAGACAGAGAAAGAGAGAGAGAAAGAACAGAAGCATTCATTAATTATGGAGGATACAACTACAAGCAAGAAACATAATTCTTGCTCACAAGGAACTTATATTCTAATATTGGAAGGCAATACATAAAACTAGAACTAGAAAGGTTTACATGAGTTGGAAGTTGGGCAAGATGAAGTGAAAGTTCACCTATCTGAGTCCAGCATCACAGAGGCAAAGTCCAAGGTTCCCAGGGAAAGAGAATAAGGATGATGGTATGAGTGTAGGCAACATGGTGTGGACACAACCAGGAATTAAACTTAATGACCAAATATTACAGCAGTGGAAGATTACCATAAATAAATCTCTGAACAAGATGATCAGTAGGAGGAAGGGAGGAGAAGGAAGACACCCCTCAGCTACTTGGCTTCAAAACTAAAGGGAGAAAGTCCACTCCCAGCTAAGACTTCTTCAATTCTGTTTTGCGGTCATTCTGTCTGTCTGTACTGTGTGATAAAAGTAGCCATCCCAGGGGAATCTCAGTAAATATTAACCATATTTGAAATGCCTCTGTCTTTGCCCTGCTCTACCCATCTCTGCTGCCATTGCTCCCAACTTACTATTCCTTATCCCTACTGTTTCTAGCCTGCACCAACCCTGATGTTTGTTTCACCTTATCCTAGTCTAAGAAGGTAAGGAGGGTACTGAATT